GGCCCAGGCCGGGACGGCGGAGTAGTGCTGCAGGCAGCATAGAAGCGACGGTAGACGAACGACGGCGGCAGCAGACACCGGACTCCCGTGAGAGAAGCGGCCTGGAGGGCGAGGAGGACGACGCGCAGGGGCTTCTGGGAGGAGCAGTCCCTTCGAAAGCGCACGCGTGCACTTTGACTCGGGCAGGCGGCGCGGGCCGCGCGCAACGTCGATGACGATGACGCAGAGCCCCGCCCGAGGGCCATCTGGGAGTTGTAGTTTTTACAACACTCTCGCAAGGGCTGGACGTTCGTGGAGCAGACGATTACATTTTTCTGCAACTGTAGTCCTTGATGCTTGTGCGAAGAGGGGTCCACTCGAGTCCCAGGGTTGTTTTGGGGCGCTCACTGGATGCGAGGCGCTGCAGACATTTGTGAAGCAGGAGCAGGGTGCTCTAGGGTAGTAGAGAGAGCGCTTATTATGCGTTGATAATAAACGGATCTGTAGTGTATTAAAAAGTGACAGGTCCAGGGCGTGGTGGCACATGCCTGTAATCCCAGTACTCTGAAAACTGAGGCAGGAGGATAACTTCGAGTTCAAGGCCAGCCTTAACTACATACTGAACTCGATTGCGTCTTAAAAAAAACAAAAAGTGACACGTGGGAAAATACACATGTAACAAAAACTAAGGGGTGGGATGGGGCAGTAGCGAAAGTTGCAGCTGTATATGCACGTGTCAGGAATGGCAGTCCAGATGAGGCAGAGCATATGCAAGCGCCTGGTGGGACAGGGTGGTTGCTGGATGTCCCAGCACCAGCAGGGGACCTTCCGCGCCTTGAGATAGGCTTGCCTCGCTCTATCGCCTCTGGCCCGGCCCCGTCGGCCCTCGCCCCCGCTCCTGGCTGACGCAGGAGCGCGTGCGAGGGCGGTTCGAGGGCCCCACTGACGTTAACTGTGTCCCGCGCAGCCTCGCTCGCAGCCATGACGTCACCACCCACCCCCGCGCTCACGCAGTTTGGTGGCCGGGGTGGGGCTGCCTTTCTGTCCCCTCCTCTTTGGTCTCCCGGAAGATGAAGGGTCAGGGCCAGCAGCGGGCTGGTGTCTCACACTGTGGAGGGTCTGGGCTGAGGTGCAGAGGCCCGAACCCCAGGTGCATGGATGGTGGTCATACTGAGTGGGGGTGTCACATTGAGCTCCAGCCATGTACAGTGACCCAGAACACCCCACGTAGCTCCCCACACCTAAAGCCAATGCCCCAAACACCAGAAACCAGGCATCTGCTGATCCATAACAGAGACCCCAGGCCAGCGCTATGAGGGACACTCCGGACATCAGTCTCGATGACCTGGACCTTTAGGTTTGGGCAGTTGAGTGCAGCAGGAAGTCCCACCCTTCTCCAGGTGCATACTTACGGATGCCCGGCTCTCAGGGATGAGAGCCCCGATATCCACATGCCACTCCGTAGAGCAGGGAGGCCTAATGGGCTCCTCAAATTCAGCGGTTGGAGAAAAATATCAGTTAGCTATACCTGCAGTCTCTACTCTGGTGGCCCACTGGTGACAGCAGAACCATTACCTAGAGCTCACACCTGGGAAGATCTGGGAACTCCACCCTGTTTGGCCTGTCCACCTAATTCCTGCCTTTGCAGCCATCTCTGTCTGGCCTGCATAGCTCCAGCCTCCTCCTCGCCTTACCCCAGGTGTCAGAGAGCCTACTTTGGGAAAAGCTGAAGTCTGAGGGAGTCATTCCCAGGCTGGGTGCCGTACTTTGGTCTGCCTGCTTTGCCTTCTGCAAAACTTTCCTTTTCTGGCCTTCCCCATATGGAGCCAGTGTCCCTGGTCCCTGTGCATTTATGTAATCACCTTGCTGCCCCTTGGCAGACACATATCCATTACCTCCTTTTTGCTGGCCATGTGCTCAGCCTGGGGACCCAGCCATTAAGAAGTTCTTGTCCTGCCAGGTGGGGTGGTACACCCCTGTCATCCCAGTACTGTGGCAGGCTGAGACAGGAGGATCCCAAGCTCCAGTTTGGTTTGAGCAATTTAGCAACTCAACAAAAAAACTTTTCTTTTTTTTTTTTTTAGTCAGGGTCTTGTTTGTAATTCACACTGGCCTTGAACTCACTATATAGCCCAGGTTGGCCATGAACTCACAGCAATCCTCCTCTCTCAGCCTCCAGAGTGCTGGGATTACAGGAGTGTGTCCCCACACTCAGCAAGTCCTTAAAAAATAAAAGACTGGATGGTTGTGCCACCTGCCTTGCAAGCACAGGGACCCAAGTTCAATCCCCAGTACAAAATAATAATAATAAATAAATAAATTATGGGCCAGGGATTTAGCTCAGTGGTTCTGCTATCTGCCTTGCAAGCACAAAGACCCGAGTTCAATCCCTGGAACCAAAATAAATAAATAAATAAAATAAAAGACTGGGGATGTGGGCTGGGCATGAGGTCCTGAGTTCCATGCCCAGTACCCCCGCAAAAAAATTACTGGGGATGTGGCTAAGTGGAAAATAAAGAAAGAAAAGGTTTCTGTCCTTGGAATTCACAGTGTAATGAGGCAAGACAACAGCTTAGAGGAGTAGAAGTCTGATGTAGAGCCACATAGACAGCAGAACAGGGAACCCAGGGTGAAGGGAGTGGGGTGAAGTAGTCAAAGAACACGTGATGGGCAGACACGTACAGGTGTCAACGTTCTGAGGTTGGCCTGACCCTGATGAATTCTCAGTGTTAGGAGGGTGCTATTGTGAGGCCTGGCACACAGGCCCAGGGTAGCTGGGATGGGATCTGGACAAGACTGGTGGTAAACTGGTTGTCTAAGCCATTAAAAGGATGAGCATATCTATAACTGGGGATGTAGTACAGTCACAAGGCACAAGTTTAACGTGCTGTATCCCTGGCACCAGAAGGAAAAAAAGAGACGGGCTGTCTCTGTAAGCAGGGTTTCAGCTGGCATGGCGACCCATGAGGAGCAGGCCTCTGTGGGTGCAAGGTGGGCCCTGGGGGACACTCAGCAATGCCCCGAATACTTGTATTACCATCTATCTTTTGCTGTACCTTGGAGGGAGGAGAGGGGACAGGGGGCTATGGCAGGCCCTTGACATAGGGGACCCACATGTACTGGGGTGACAGGTAGGGTTCATGTCCCCAGATTCCTTGGCCTGAGACCCTGCAGATCCCAGACTGGAAGGAATTGTGCGCCCAGGGGACTGTTGGTGCACCCTGGATTCCCTGACTCAGTGCCTTGGGATATAGGACAATTCCTGTACCTCAGAGGAGGCCATGATACACAGGAACCAGAGTTATGGGGAGTTATGCACCCTAGGCCCGGGCGATGTGTTCCTAGAGACCGAGGACCTGGAGTAGGTGAGTCGTGCTGCCTTGCAGGGGGTGGGGACCCAGGCGCCGCGGGAGGGGGCGCCCGGGAGCTCAGGCT